AGAGCATCCTATCAATAATTCAATTCACAATTTTTGAACGATTTTTCACTCATATTTAATACAACAATTACCATTCCTATATTTTGCTCATAACTCCCACTAATGACATGTCAATACAAATGTCCAATATATATATATGCAATAGATTGAAGTAGTGTTGGCCGGAGTGGAAGATTATCAATTTTGATTAAATAATGACGTCTTCAAAATATCTTTACCTCCTTTATTATGAGCACAATTACGTTACGTTAACCTTGCATAGACAGCGGTGTTTTGGAGGACACAACACAAAGACAAAAAAAGCAGCAAGTATTTTCACTCTTACGTGATGGCGGCAAGCAGAGAAAGAGAGCGCGATTACGTTGAATAGGCGTTTTCCTTTTGGCATCTGATTGGCTAAAATGCGCGGGATTTAGATTTAGGTTTAACCGATTACGATTAAGATTACAATGTTTTATTTTAAACCTATGAATGAAAGATTATTTATAGATCATTAAAGAGAGTTAATTTAAAGTATGTTAGAGGGAATTATTACATATATATATATATCTTGTTCACACAAATTTTCTATCGTTAATAAAGTACTTTTTATTCATCCATTCAAATTAAAATACATTTTTTTAAACTTCTAGTGGATGACATTTGATGTTAATATAGTTTTTTCAAATATTAATTCATTAATTAAATTAAAAAAAGAATAAATAGTAACAAACAAAAATAATAGTCCAACAGCATATATAGAAATGAAAATCGTTCGTTGTGTTCTTGTAGCACAATGGATAGTGCGTTTAACTTCTAGTTCAAAAGGTCGTGGGTTCGAATCCCACATGGAAGGGCCTAATTTCTAAGAATAAACTTTTCTTCTTTTACTGTACTATTTTACTAGAATAATTAAATTTAATTAACGAATAGATAGTAACACAAAAAAAAAAATAGTCCAACACCTTATACAGAGAGGAAAATGGAAAATAACAAGGAAAATCACTTTTCATTTTGTCACTTAATATTTTGATTCTGTCATACGTAAATACATATTTATGTCAATTGTAACTATTTAATAAAAAGTAACTAAAACAAAAATTTTCTTTGTTGACCTAAGTAGGAATTGACTTAATTTTTTTATATTACTATTTATGTTAATAACTTCAATTACTCTGAATTGCTCTTCGATCTTATTGCTATCCATTTTCTCAAAAAAGGTTTTTTTTATTGCCAAAATTCTCTTTCGGATTCAGTTTTTGCTTGCAAGGAACAGTGTCTTACAATTATATATTTTTTACATAGTATAGAAAATCAATCCTTATTTGTAAGCATTTTAAAAATCTATTTAAAAATTCCCCAATTAAATAACTATTTGAATCATTGTTTTTTTCACAAAAAAAATTATAATTGCAATATCCACGTTTTATTTTTACTTCATATTTGATTAGAAAAAT